ACACTCTAATTATATACCCATGTTCTGAATTTCAATTGGTTCTGATATAATAATTACAGCTTTTTATACTTCAGTGATAAGACTCAATTGCTAAATCTAATGTCAAGTTAAAAGAAGAAAAAAACCTTAATTCCTTTCTTCATGATATTTGACATCTACAAAATCATAATACTTTAGTTTTTACATGGAAAGCTAAATTTATATAGAAGCTAAGACTCATGATGGAAATGTTTTAAACTGTATCTTGAGTCCAAAATACTGTGGAGTTGTTTTCTTTGGCAATTCCATGCTGTACATGGGAGAATGTTTCTCTGGGAGACAGAACTCTCAGATCAGACTCCAGACTATCACCTTCCTCATTCAGGGGACTGGCTGCTGAATCTCTCCTGGCTAGCAGGAGTTTAGGGGGCTTCTGACTTCTAGACTAATCGGTGTTTCTCAGGCTTTAATGTGTGCTCAAATTGTCTAGAGGAGTGGGTCTTGTCAAAATGCAGATTCTGATTGCACGGGGCTGGAGTAGAGCCCAAGAATCTGCATTACTGAGAAGTTCCAGGCGATACTGCTGCTGGTGATCTTCCTGGAGCAGCACCCGTCTACACAGCCTAAGATGAGTGGATTTCTGAGCCAGACAGCTTCTGCGCTGTCAGACTGCCTCTTTGCAAATTCAATACATATGACAGTCAAGCAACGGAGTGAAGGTTCTATAGAGAGATGCTAGTAAAGTAAATACTTCTAGTTTGTCATCAAAACATTTCATTGTGGTCATTTTCTGATTTCTCTATTAGGCTACAATCAGGAGAACTTGCTCATTTAAGCATCATCTAAATGTTCACTAATTGCTCATTTTCACACATAAGTTCTAAGGGGAGTGGCGCTATGTTCTAAGCTTTCCATCATATATGAAAAAAGGATTCTTTTACAAAATATGCTTTCAAAAAAACACATCTTCTGTTCTCCCCCCATGTCAGCCTTATTACAAATGTAGTGCAAGACTAGCTGCTGCCACATCCCTGGAATGAGGCACCCAGGGGTGATCAAATCATTCTCCATTCTACCCGGAAAAATCCTCAGGTGAATAGATAGATACGTCCTGAGAAAGAGAAGGCACTGCTCTCTTGTCACCCAGAGAACATCAGTCTCTGGTGTAAAGAAAGGACTCAAGCTCATTAAACTCACAGGTCCCCAGTTAGCCCCTGAGGCTCTAGAAATTGGAGCTGACTTTAAAGTAGGTACTCTGTTTACATGGAGCCTGGCTCATGGAATAGATACGTTCCTGAAGTTGACTGCAAATCAAAAGCTGTTTTTTT